ACAGAAATACAATATGAGCCACTTGTGTAATTTTAAATTTTCTAGGAGCCACATTAAAAAATAAAAAGAAATAGGTGGTAAGTTTTAATATCTTTTTAGTTCAGTGTATCTCAAATACTATTATTTCAACATGTAATTAACAAAAAGTAGTGATGTATTTTACTTTCCTTTGCATTGTCATTGAAATTCGGTATATATTTTACAGTTACAGCATATGTGAATAAGTAGCCACATTTCAAGTGCTCAGTAGCCACATGGCTACTGTATTGTACAACACAATTCTGTGCTTTTATTCCAGGATTTCTCAACTGAAACATATCAAAATGGGAGTGGGACAAAGGGCTGTGTAGTTCAGGAACCACTGCTCTAAGCTTTGGAACCGCAAGTGGTGTAGACATGCCCCTTGTAAGATGATAGAGGAGGCCAGACTGCTGAGACTTAATCTGTATATATTAGAGAAGTATTATAAGTTTTAGATGCATTTTAAAACACCAGTCTGTGTTCAAGATAGTTTGTTACTACTAGTATTTTTTTTTAAAGGCGCATTTGGACAGTATAAACCAACTCAGAGGGGCGCCTGGGTGGCTCAGTCTTTAAGTGTCTGCCTTCGGCTCAGGTCGTGATCCCAGGGTCCTGGGATCGAGCCCCACATCGGGCTCCCTGCACTGCGGGGAAGCCTGCTTCTCCCTCTCTGCTTGTGTTCCCTCTCTCGCTGTGTCTCTCTGTCAAATAAATAAATAAATTAAATCTTTAAAAAAAATTAAAAAAATTAAAAATAAACCAACTCAGAGTGATGTTAGCTGTGTTATTTAATCCATTGTTGATAACAAGATAGATAGGTGACTGATTTCAGAGAACTAATAAAATATGGTTTTCTCACTGAGAGCCAAATAAAATTTAAAACGAGCACTAATTGAATGTAAATAATTTACAGGCATTGCCTGCTTTTGTGAGATATCTCTTGACTTCTATTTCTGAGTCCCTTCCTTGGTGGCACTATTTGGTGACTTCTCAGCCTAAATTATATAATTAACTGTGATGACCATTCTTGGAAGGTCATCTTAAAATTTCTCAAAGTGACTCAGAGAAATTATATCTTGGTATTTGGGAAACATGTCTATGCACATTGTTTCATAGCCGTGTTCTCACTGTGTGTATTTTTTAAATTAAATTTCTTCATCTACCTTGAAGTAATGTTGTAACTACAAACCTATAATTTACTCTACTTTTAAGTTCTTCCTTTTGATAAACTTATCTATTCATATTGGGTCTAATTATAGCTCAGGGCGTAACCATGTGTATTATTCATCTGAATAAGTGAGTTTGTCTGGCAACAAGGGGCTATTGTTGCCAAAGCTTTGTTGTCATCTGACTGTATTCTGTCTGTACCTCACTGTCAGCTTCAGGAAAGGTTAGGTCGAGAGGAACATGCAGCAGGAATGTTATACTCTGGCCCCTTGCTCTGCTTCTCAGTATATTTCAGCACTTTGCAATAAACTTGGCTATGATTTTTTTTTTTACTTCATCCTTTTTAAATAAGAGAGATCAAAACTAGAGATAAAATTGAACTTTTCTTCGTTCCCTATCTTCAGAGCTATCCCATCACCCTATTCCTCTTTTCTCCTGTTCCCTGCACAACCACTGTCATGAATTTAGGCCTATCTTTCCAGTTCATTTCTTCAAAGACTTTGACATAGATATGTATCCATAAACAATATAAAATACTATTTTATATTTCTAGTTTATATAATAAGATCACACTGTACATATGCTGCAAACTTGCTTTCCTCATATAGCATTTTAGTAGACTTTTGGGACATCATTGTTCTTAATGTGAAAACTTGGTACATATATAAGAACATATCTAACACATAAATAAGTTATGAGACCTATAGTAAAACAGGTAACTCCTGAATCCACCATATATACTGAAAAGTGGAACATCACCAGAACCATTGAAGCTCCTGTGTGCTACTCCACCATCTGATTCTACCCAGGAAACACTCTTTTGAGCTTTGTTCTCATTCATTTTCTTGCTTATCATATATGTTTGTGTCCTCAACAATGTATTTTCTTGTTTGCTTGTTTTCAAACTTGGTGAAAATAGTATCATACTGTATATATTCCTTTAGACTTGCTTTTTTATTCAATATGACACTTTTAAGATTTATCCATGTTAATCAGTATGTTTTCACTGTTGTGTTGTATTCCTTTGGGTAAATTTATTCCTTTTTCTGTCAGTAGACATTTGTATTGTTTCCAGTTTTCCTATTAAAAATAGTGCTTCCATGAACATTCTTGTATATGTTTTCTGGTGCACAGGTGTAAAAGTTTCTCTGGGGTATGTACCTAGGAGTGCAATTGAAATGTTGTAATATAGGAGTATATAGATTCAGCTTAACTAAATAAGTCCACATTCTTACCCAAAGTGATTGAACACTCTTCAGCAATGTATAGTTCTTGTTTTTCCACATCCTCATCAGCACTTGGTTTTGTCACGCATTTATCTTTGCCTATACATTGTGTAAAATAATATTGAACTCTAATTTTAAGTTTCATTTCCCTGATTTTAATGAGATTGGATATTTTTCATACGTCTTTTGGCCATTTATGTTTCTTCTTTCTGGAAATGCCTATTTATGTCTTTTCTAAGGGATTGCTAGTCTTTTTCTTATTGATTCATAGGAATTCGTATACTCTGGACACTAGAATTGTGTCAGTTTTATGTGATCCAAACATCTTTCCTGGTTTGTGGCTTGTCAGTCTCTTTAGGCAACCTCTAAAACTTCCGACTTTTGCATTGACGTGCTTAATCCATCTACAACAAAGGTTTGTATGTTTATTGAAGTAGAAATCCAGTTTCTCTATTTGCCATATACAAAAACTGTTTTCTTAGCCCCATTACTTCTGACATATATCAGATTCGTGTAAGTATGTGGAAAAGTTTGAGGGATTTCTTTGAGCTTCCAAACACATTTTAGAATCAAGTTGTCAAGTTTCATTTTTTTACATAACTGTTAGACTTTTGAATGGAATTGCATTGGATCAATTTGGGGAAAATTGACATCTGTAGGATGCTGGGTCTCCCTACTCATAAACTTGGTATCTCTCTCCATTTATTTAATTCTCTTTGTATTTCAATAAATTTTATAATTTCCTCCATTAAAATCTTATATATTTTTATGAAATTTATTCATAGGTTTTTTGTTATTTTTAATACTATAAAAATATTTTAAAATATATTTTCTAATTTTGTTGGTGTGTTGAAATGCAGTTGATTTTTTATGTTGATCTTAAATCTAACCACTTTGTAAACTCTTTTATTAAGTTTAATAAATTGTGTATAGATTTTTCTGTGTACATAAATTCTGCAAATGCTCACAGTTTTATTTTTTCCATCCCAATCTATACCTTTTGTTTTTTCCTTCCTTGTGTCTTTCATACCTTGATGAATATGATTACTAGTGCACGAATGATTAGAAGTACATATAGTGGGCATCCTTATATTGTTCTTCAATTTTAAAGGGTGTGCTTTTGATATTTTGTCACTGAATATATTAGTTGCTGGTAGTTTTTTGGTAAATGCTATTTATCAGGTTAAAGAAGTTTCCATCTATTCCAGTTTTGCTAAAAAAATTTTTATTATCATGAATGGCTATTATTAAGCCTATTGAGTGCTTTTCCTGCACCCATTGAGATTATCCATTTTTTTCAACTTTAATCTCTTAGGTAAATTACATTAATAATTTTCTATTATTAAACTATCCTTGCATTCCCAGAATATATCCCAACTTAGTTAAGATGCATGCTTTTTTGATATACTGCTTAACAGTGAGGTTTTTGTAGATATAAACTAATTTCAAAATAAGAGTAGTAGCTAAATTTTTGTTGACAATAAAATCTTCCCCAAAGGGCTGCCCACTTTGCTATAGGGTATAAGGGTAATTTATGGCTATTAGATGCAGGTATTAGCTTGATATAGCAAAAAAACACTGAAAAGCTAAATTATAATCTTATTTGCCCTTCTGTTCACTTGAGAGATTATAATTCAGTTGACTCATGTGGGCCTTATTTTCCTCAGTGAGTTTGTCTGAGACTCAGAGACAGATGTTTACTACTAGTAGTCATGTGGCTTCACTTGCTTTCCTATTAATCCATCATCATCAAACAAACATGTACTTACTAGGCCCTAAGACAAAGCAAAAATCTATTCCTCAGGGAACTTTTAGGGAGGGACAGAAAAGTAAACACTTAAAAACAGTTATAGGGGATTCCTGGCCAGCTCAGTTGATAGAGCATGTGATTCTTGATCTTGGGGTTGCGAGTTCAAGCCCCATATTGGGCAAAGATCTTACTCTAAAAAAAATTTTTAATTAAAAACATGGTTATAAAATGAAATAATACATCTTGTTTTCTATAGACCACACTATTTATGATACATGGGGGTTGAGGGGACAGAGATTCTTTGGCTGGAAAGAGAAAAGAGGAAGCTTGAGATGGGATATGATACTTGAGCTGAGTTTTATGAATGATGAGCATTTACTGATATCCATGAGCCTCATTTGTATTCTCAGTTGTTAACAAAGGAATTAGACTACTTTTTATTACACTTTTTTTCTCTAATGGCCCCTCTGTCTTCGAAATTTGTCTCTTTCACCCTATGACTGTTATCATCTTTTTCAGGATCTCACAAATAATTTCATGCTTTATTAAATATTTGTGCTCCTTCCTCTGGTCTTTGGTCCTAGGAATCTTTTGTTCAGTAGGTATAGAGTTGTGAATGGCAAGACAGAATCTTCCTTGTTCTGTTTTTTAAGTAATACCAACATCTTTTCTTTATAGAGTATTGATGATATTGACAAATGAATCATCATATAGAATTACCTGATTTGTTATGTTTTTGTGGAATTGCTCAATTTATTGTTACCATAAATAGAATTTTTTAAATTCCAGGGTTTACATAATCTCTAAGCACATTTCATTTGTATGTCTTATTTCAGTGCTGGACCCAAAGGAGACAACATTTATGAATGGAGGTCAACTATATTGGGACCCCCAGGATCTGTCTATGAAGGAGGGGTGTTCTTTCTTGACATTACCTTTTCACCAGACTATCCGTTTAAACCCCCTAAGGTCAGTATGAAGTGTTCATCCATTTTTAGCAATATGTATTGTTGTATATGTATATACATATACATATTCTTAAATATACATATCTAGGAATGCATGTCTATTCTGTTAACATAGACAACTTCCCAGGGCTAATTGTATGTAAAAGGAAACAGAATGTGGAAAATTATAGGCTATTTCCCTACCCCATCCCCTTACTCATATTTCATTGCTTTTTCTCATCCTTTCTCAGTGTCTCCTTTCTGTGGTTTATGTTGTAATGGAACATAAAACAGCCCATTATGGGTGGAGCTAGGTGAGGGAGAATGGGCCTACACTAGCCCTGCAACCCAGAAAACCAGACTTGGCTGAAGCTGGAGCCAGAGCCAAGCCCAGGAGCCAGACTAAATGCGGAGGGAGCCAGCACTAAGGCAGGTCTCAGGGCACCAGCTATGGAGTGTTGATGCCTCCACGGTTCGGCTGTTCACATGAAGTATACATGCACTAGGAGGGAAAGTGTGACCTACAAAGACTTAAGAGTGATGCCAAGAACATTTAGTGAAAAAGTATTTGTAAAAGTTGATTATAAATGACTAATTAATGAACCATAGGGGAATTTACACTTATTTAAAACAAGATTATATACTTTAAGAATTCTTTGCATTCCTTTCTACTGCCTGTAATTCAGTCATTTGATGAGTTTAAATTTATTCTCCACTTTGGAAGGGAAAAGACCCTAAGGACAGTGACTCTCTGCATTGGCCACCAAGAAAAAATTCTCATTTGGCCTGACTTTAACCTCGCAGTGCAGAGGGAAATAAAACTTGCTTGGGTTGTAGGTTGGAAGGGACAGTTTTAGAAAAGCAAAAATAGGACTATACCTTTAGCATGAATTTCTGTAAGTCCCCTCCCTCCCTCTTACCCTCCCTCTCTTTTGTCCCCCTCTCTTCCTTTCTTCCTTCCTTTCCGACGCTTGGATATTGTTTTGTTACGAAAGCAAAAGCAATAACTATAATTTTACCAAAGAAGAAAGCAAGGCACGGAGAAACTAAGTAACTTTCCCAGCATTACACAGCAAGCAAATAGTAGTGTCAGTATTTGAACCCAGGAAGTCTGACTCCAAAGCCCATGTTCCTTTCCACATTACATGGTACATTTTACCCAAGCTGACAGAGCTGGTGGCACTGGTGATCACCCATACCTGCATTAAGTTGGTTTTCAGGGATGAAGCCATAGTACATCTAATATTTATTTTCTCCTTTCACTGGATGGGAACCTTTTGTCTTTCATTCTACTTGGGACCAGCCCATAAATCACCTGGAGTACTAACTGCACTGCTAGTGATGTGAGGACCTATCTCTGACAGCCTCTTCAGTAAAGGAAATACAGAGTGGGGAAGGGGAGGGACCATTCAGATCAGGCAGTTGGTGCTGCTTGTGAGTTTGGAATAGGCTGCTCTGTACATCTGAAATACACATCTCAGAAAATGTGTGGGCTTATCCAAGTTCTGCATGACAGAAATGTGTAGATTAAAACTAGAAGGGAGCTCTAATAGATTAGATAGAATAACTCAGTTTCCAAAAAGGCCTCAATGGACTGAAAGGATGGTCCAAAACAAGATGGAATTTAACATAGCTAAATGTGTTCAGTGACAATCAGAAAGAAATGATGATGCATGAAGGAGAAACCTACTTTATTTTCATATAAATAAAATTTGTGGGCTTTTGGCTGACTACAATTCTGTGGGAACTTAAGGTTCTTGAAGCCTTAAGGAAACATTTTTAGGAGTACAATCCTTGGAACTCTGAACCATTCACACTATATCTGGAGTGCCTCAGTCACCCCTAAGTTCTTCGTTTTGAGAACAAACAAGAATAAACTGGGGAGAGAGTCATCTACATTCTTGAACTTCTTCACTGGGTAAAACACTACAGTGGATATCAGTTGTGCCAACTCATTTCTTTTCTAAAACACCCTACTAAGGCTTGGGTTTTCCCTTTCACAGATGAGAAAACTTAAATGAGGCTTAGAGAGGTTTCCAATAATAGAGAACCAAGAATTTACTGATTTCCGACTTCACAGACCATGTACTTTCCACTGAATTATACACCGTTAACCTGGAGATGTTCGCTAGTAAGAATAGGACGTAGGAGGAATGTGATATCTGTTCTCGGATGTTTTAGGAACTATGGTGTGGGTTAGGATTTAGGCCTTATTTTTGGATGGCTGGATGGAACAAAAATAGAAGTAGGAGGGTGTCAGTTACTGGGAAGTAGTTGTTAATTCTTATGAGGAAAATCTGACCCACAGAGGCATAGTGTGCTTTTGAATAGCTCTATGTATGAGACAGTGGGCTTCCTTTTACTCAGAGTAAATACTGGCCAATATTTCTGTTTAAAAAAAAGCAGAATTAGTACCTGTCAGGAATAGTTCCAGAAAAAAATAAGTTCCTCCACTGAATGAATTTGAATAAACAATCTCTTAGGACAAAGGAAAAGTTTAATTTTGGTAACTCAAATCACAATTTAAACGCACATTTATTAGAAACCTGCGGGAAGTTTTTGAAAGCAAATAATCACCACCTAATTTATCAATTTTAGAAGCCAAATTTTGTAGGCAGATATGCTCTTCTAAGTGGGGGAAAGTTTGTGAGTGTCTTGGAAGCTGTTAACTAAAACAAAGGCATTTTTTATTAATACTTTTGAAGTACCATGTCTGTGCCTTTCTAATCTCCTATTATTCTAAATAGGCTGCATTTAGAATTGTCCTGTTTTTGTTTTGTTTTTTTCTCTGTTACCCTCGTCCTTTTCCTCAACCTTAGCCACATATTTTAATGAAACATTTCCCAGTGCTCTGAAGAATGAACCTGGATAACAGTAGGTGTTAGAATTATTGGTGAGACCAGAGGTTCACAAATACATTTGATTGGCTATCTAATGGTTATCAGATATCCATACCATAAAATTAGTGTATAGCATAATGGGTACACCCCTATACCAAAACTGAGATGACTTTTCCCAAACTCTTACACTTGGAATCCTTAGTGAGGATTTTAAATGCTGTCATGCTCAGATTAAATAATTTAACATATAAACCATTTCACCACGTTTATCAGTTTAAAAATATCAATAAATAAACCTCTATGACTTAAAATGTGAAAAAGTAAATAAATATGTAGTGCTCCAATATATCACGTAAATGTCAGTGAAGTGATTTGGATGTCTCTTCAAGCCATAGGAACTTTTTGGGAATAGGACTTCATTAGTTTGAATATCCCACACTCCACTAGCTAATTTTTCAAAATCAGATGAACTATTCCAATAATTTCTTCCAAAATTCATCTAAATTTTAATAAGGCAAGGAAAACAATTTTTAATTGAGTATGTAATGTTCACTAAATTTAGTATACTAGTTTTAAATAGGTCAAGTACTTGTTATACTTGCAAGTGCTGTATCTTAGTACAATTCTTAGCACATTGATTTTCTTATATAATCAATATGTTTATGCCTCTTTTTACTAAATCTACAGGAGTTGTATTTGTATGACATTGTTAACTGTGTCTAAAGTATCTGATGCCAGGTCTTCAGGTGAATATTTAACCATCAATGATAATATTATTTCTCAGGGAAAATATTCATTTAATGAAATTGTCTAGGAGTAACATATTATGGCCAAAAAACAAAAGCATAATAAATTACTGGTATATCCCAAAGTTTTTTGATACTGTATTTCTTTCAGTGTTGATAGATATTTTAGTGTTCTAATTCAAATATCTATTTATTTGTAAAGTAGAAATTGCTTTATATCTTTTTGGGGATTACATATTCTTATTCATATTACAGATAATTACTCCTGTGCTCAAAACCTACACTTTTTTCTAAGTTTAATGTGTAAATATTTTAATGTTTTGGGGTTTTTTTAAGATTTATTTATTTGACAGAGGAAGACATAGCGAGAGAGGGAACACAAGCAGGGGGAGAGGGAGAAGCAGGCTTCCTGCTGAGCAGGGAGCCCTATGCGGGGCTTAATCCCAGGACTCTGGGGCCACGACCTGATCCGAAGGCAGATGCTTAACGACTGAGCCACCCAGGCACCCCAATACTTTAATGTTTTTAACTCTACAAAATCTACATATTTGTGATAGAATAAAAAGTAATTGGAGATAAACAAAAAGGAAAATTTTTAATTACTTATAATCCTAACCCCAAAATTAATTATTCATGCCATTTTGTCTATCTCTTTTGAGATTTTTTTTTTTTTTTAAGATTTTATTTATTTATCTGAGAGAGAGAATGAAAGAGAGCATGAGAAGGAGGAGGGTCAGAGGGAGAAGCAGACTCCCCGCCAAGCAGGGAGCCTGATGCGGGACGAGATCCTGGGACTCCAGGATCATGACCTGAGCCAAAGGCAGTCACTTAACCAACTGAGCCACCCAGGTGCCCTTCTTTTGAGATTTTGTTCTCTGTGTTAAAATATACTGTATGCATACACACGAATAATATACATAAATACTGGGCCATATTCCCCCTGGTTTTAGAATTACTTTTTCCCTAATATTCTATTTTCACCCAACACTACTCTTTATTTTCCAATAAACATATAACTGCATTAGAATTATTGAGGTTCCACAGTATTCCATTGTGTAAATATACCAAATTTAATTTCCTATTATTGGACATAAGCTATTGCCAGTATTTTTGTTATCAGTGATGTGATGAACATCCTTTTAATTACATATTTTGTATACTTGCATAATTATTTCCTGAGGCTAAATGTGTTGACATGGAACTTCTGAGTAGATGGGTTTATACATACTTGTAGAGTGTTGTTAAAGGTTGACAAGTTGCCCTCCAGAAAAGTTTATCAGTTGACATCATGGCCATCAACATAGTGATAATACAGTACTTCCCTTCACTCTGCTCAGCTCTGAGGATTCTAGTCCTTTTTAATCTTTGCCAACCCAGTAGATGAAAAGTAATATTTCATGGTTGCTTTAATTTATATTTATATGACTACCAACGAG